AATTTTAAAGTAAATTCAGATTGAACATAGTAAAACATTTAAATTATAGTGTCCGTCCAAAAAAAAAACATTACTTATAGTGAAAACCACCCTTGAATGATGGGATAGTAGACTAAAAGCTTTAGGAATCCAAACTATAACATATAATAAGTACCCTGTATCAAGATTGATGCAAAACAAGTGCAATTTGACCTTTTTAGAGAGATTTAGAAGAGAAAAAAAACACCTCTGGGGTCATTTGGGTGAATTTTCCATATCTCTGGCCCCCCACGTTCGATTTTGATGATTGACATCTCTTTTTAACCGTTAGAGCCAATAGAACCAGCATTTTTTGTAATTTGTCAAGCTAAGAGATGTGTTCCTACAATTCAAGCATACAATTATGTCCCAGGAGTGTAGGGTTTGGGAATTATGGTAGTTTAAAAAAAAAAATGTAAGGCGAATTTCAAGCTCTCCTCCACTCTAGCTGTGACATCACTAGGGTTGGGAACCGAAACTCGGTTCCAGATGAGAACCGATAAGAAAATGCCGGGTACCGGGTACCCATACAAAATACACAATTTTGGTTTTGCTAAACGGTTCCTAAACGCGGTAGACCCTGTATTCCACCGGGTCCGTCTGTGCCGCGGGTCCGTCTGCGCCGCGGTGACTCGGTACGCTGACGCCCGGCACCGCCCTTAACTTTTTTAAACGGCATCATGTAAGTTGCGCTGACAGGCGACAGAGGTCCACAGTTGCCCCGCAGCGAGGCTCCCCCCGCCCTCCCGTAGACAGTTCACGAGCTCAGTCACTTCATAACACCAAAGATGGATCGCGGTAAACGCTCTAAAGTGAGGCTCCACTACACTAAAAAAGAAAAAGACAAGGCACAGTGTAATGCCTGTTAATAGCTTGCCACAGGCATAGCTCAGTTAAAATAAAGCACAGCTATTGTGCAATACATTTGTATTGCATGTATATTTTTTATTTGTAAAAATGTCAGTTAAAGCTTAAAAGAATAAAGATATTTTTGTTATCTAAACGTTTGACCTCTTTCTTTTACAATTTTGGAATCGAAACGGGGAATCGATAAGAACCGGAATCGATAAGCAGAACCGGAATCGGAATCGGAATCGATACATTTCAAACGATACCCATCCCTAGACATCACGCACTCTAAGCCTTAACGAGCTGCGCAATACACACTAATGTTAAAATCTGAAGAAAGCCTCTTTACCAAGCTCCAAACTAAGTTAAATATCCCAAAAAGTGTAAAAGATATGAAAAATCTGAAGAACAAGTCTTATAGCTGAAGGTCTTGTGATCATTTTAAAGTTGGAATGAAGTCTGTAGCTGAAAGTATGTGGAAGGAGAAGCATTTGGCGCACGGTGTAGGTAAAAGAGGATTTGAATGTTCCTCCCATTGAGTTACATGTTAAAAAAAGAGTTTAAAAAGCTGAATATTTCAAAAAGTATAAAATATTTTGAAAAAGTTGAAAGTTTCCCACCATGTGCTGAAAAGGCTGAACATTTTGACATTTGAATGGTTTCTGTAGCTGAAAGTAGGCTGAAGTTATTCAACAGCAAAATATTGGTTGAAATAAGAGGAAGAATAAAGATTTGAACAACTATAGTGGAATGCTGTAAACAGCATTCGCACTAAATACTTTTAGTAAAAGTAGAAAAGTTTTAGCATCAAAATATAGTTAAAGGGGACCTATCATGCAAAATGCACTTTTGTACGTCTTTTATACATGAATATGTGTCCCCGGTGTTCCAGGGAACTCACCAAGTGTCAGAAAACACAACCCTCTCTATTTTCCTCCATACCCAAATCTAAAAAAAAAGGGGCTGCAACGGATCTGATAAAGACTGATCCAGATTTGAACACTTCTATGACGTCACAGAAGTGGCGCTACGGCTATTGGGCCAACTCTCCACCTATCAGGGGAATGTGGGGTTGGGCCACGGCCGGCCATTGCCGCTCGAAAGCGCTGGAGACGCTGTAGTACATATGCCAGGCCTGTAAGTGGCGCTGTAGTCTGCCACAAAAGCAGCGAAGAACACTTCCTGCCCATAGTTACCATGGTTACCCTTCTGTTTATTCTCCGCTGTGGCTTTTTTTCTCCCTCCCCGAGGCAAGCGTTTGCTCCCGCTGCTTTAATTCAATGCAATCCCTCCCCGTCGAGGCAAGCACTGTAATTCTCTCCGGTTAGTCCACCAGCAGATGACAAACACCCACCTCTCCGCCTCTTCCAAGGAACGAGGGGACCGTGCGGCAGAGTTTCAGTTTCAGTTTCTTTCGCCAGTCAAGATATCCGTTAAAGTTGAAATCTTCCGGACAAAATTAGAAAAGTGCCGGTCAAAGGTCTTCTTTGTTATTTATTGAGCTTTAAAACAAATGAATAACGACTCTATATAATAAAACACGGAGGACGGAGATCTCTTTTTCTCCCCCTCTTCTGACAGCCCAGCAGCTGATCAGAGCATGGCTACCCTCTCCTGCAGGGGGGCGTGGTCAGCTGAATCAGACCCGTAGACAGCAAACAGCACATAGAGCGAAATGAGGCATGGCTAAAATGCATGATCTGTTTGGTATTTTGAAAACAGAAACGTATAAATATACCTTATATAGGTATGGCCCTACAATATATCATTTAAATATAGCATGATAGGTCCACTTTAAAGTAGCGACAGTAAAAGTAGTCATTGTGCAGATTGGTCCGTTTCAGAATAATGTATGTTTTATGATCATTTATTGATCATTAAAGTGTTCTCAAAGCTGGTAAAGGTGCAGCTAGTTTGAATGACTTTGTATACTGCAGGGTAGCTTGTGAATTTACTCCAGGTGGAACTAAAGTCTGATTTAACACTTGATTATATTTCACATCATTAATCCAAATCTGTAAAGTAACTAAAGGTATTTAATAAATGTAGTGGAGTAAAAGTACAAGATTTGCCTCTGAACTGTAGAGGATTAGAAGTAAAAAGTACCTCAAAATTATAATTAAAGGTAGGGTAGGTAACTTTGAGAAACCGGCTCGAGATCGCTAGAATTTGAAAATACACAACCGGAGAAAATCTGCCACTTCCTTATAGAGCCCCTCCTCCAACACACACGAACGCGCACATGACCAATGAGGGCACGAGATAAGTTTGTGCACAGATGGAAGGCTGACAGGCAGGTAGGCCATCCAGTTATTTTAGCCGGACCGGCTAAAATGATTGGTCGCACTTTTTACAGTATTACGGCTTCCACAGATGACATTTTTGTATGGATTTTTTGTCAAAGCACTTAAGATATTCATTGCTATCGGGATGTTAAGAGCATTCCATGGAATATAACAAAAAGTGTATCTCGAGCCGGTTTCTCAAACTTACCTACCCTACCTTTAAGTAAGGTACTTGAGTAAATGTACTTTGTTACTTTACACCACTGGTTGTATATTAATTATTGGTAATTTCTCATATATTTTATGTTTACCAATACAATGCATTTAAATAGTATACGAAAGCCTAAACGTTTAATAAAAAATAAGAAAGGTGGTTAGACTCTAACGATGACTAAGACCGACTGAGGTAGGTTTTGTTCCTGCTGTTGGGAAATATAGTAGGTCCAGAATGTCAAAATATGTATCATTTCAAATCTAGCCCTATGCCTTACAGGTCAGCAATACCCTGAGTGTAGCTCCTATGCTAGCAGCAGATCTTAGCACAATTGTCAGTCATTTTAAGTGCATTACTGATCCTTTATTTTATGTTTCAGTGAAGCATGCAACATAATACGTGTTGTTTATGTATCTTGGTCTGTTGTTTAGCAACGATAAGGTAATGAAAACCAGACTTGCTTTTAAGGTTGCAATGCTAGAAAAACAAGAATTATGTTACATAACAATGTCGAAAATATGAAATGATAAAATAATACCTAAAACAAACATTTGCACCAGCTAAATGCTATTTAAAGTGATTAGCTCCACAATAAATCATACAGGAGTATGTCAGGACACTCGATTATAACAATTCAAACTGAAAAAACAAACATTTTACTTTTGGGGGATCAGTGTAGTTTTTAATTGGTATTACAATGAGGAGCCTGTCTTGGGTACCATCTAACAAAGTCTCTACTCTTCAATGTGGCTTGAGCTTTATGCAGCTCTCATGCTAATCTAATGATCAATCCACCAAATTCCTCTGTTGAAGTAACAGCAAAGATTAGCCTGAATATATCCTAAAAGTTACAAATAAATCAGTGTCAGTACTTCATGAGTTCACACAACAAGGTCAGGGCCTTACCTCCTGCTTCACATGTATGAGGCGTGCATTTGTGCAAACAGGCCATATTGAATTGCCAGATGATTGAATGGAGTTGGCGAAGTTCATACTGCATAGACACTTACAAACCGACCACAACCCAAACGTCACGGTCAGAGCCCGCTGTCTCTCCACAGCCTCTCCTCCTGACGCCCTCTCTAACCCCTCCTGTTCGAGAAACATCCGAACTTTTTTAACAGAGATAGGCCTACTTCATTGCTCATTTCAAACTGAAATCTACCACTGGCTCTTCAACATTCTGAACAGACTTATAGAATGCCCTTTGAACATAATGTCGACCAGAATCAGCCAGGAAGTATATGAACTATCCTAACGGGAGTTTTCCAGCGCGTGTAAGTAAGTAAGTGTAAGTGTGTCCGTGCGTTTGTGCACGCGGGCTTTGAGCGATGCACGAACAGGAGATAGGCTACAGCCTGGTCTAAAGCATGTCATACTCATATCATTAGCTGACTTTTTGCACTGAAAAAACGGTTAGCCTACGTTTTAAAGAAAACGGAAAACTCAGAGTAGGCTAAAAAATATGATGATATAAAGTTCCGCAGAATATACCAAAGGGATACCGAACCAAACTGGTCTTTAGTTCTGAGATACCGGTCCCTGCAGACTCCCACGGAAAACAGGCTTCAGTAAAGGAGGGTGTTGAGGAACTGGTAATAACGTCTTATTACGGTACAGAGAGACAGACTCACCCCTGTTGGAGCCGAACAGAACCGGGTCGCTCCTCATCGTGAAATCCGTCTCATCTAATCCAGAGCAGGCACGTGCCCAGCGGCTCGCGGCAGCAGTAACTCCACACACGGACTTTAACACGCTTTATGCTTCAGTTCCAACTTCTACGTATTCTTTTTTTCTATCGAACCGGCCACTGAAACCTTCCTCTGCTCCTGAAACTGCTCTCTCCTCCTCCCTTCTTTCCTCCTCCCCTCTCTGATTCCACTAATGTCTCTCTACCCCTCGCGCTCTCTCTCCAGTAGACTGCCTGCATGGATACATGCTGCGTTTGAAGACCATCGTACATAACATAGTTCACAGCTTGCTTGGTGGATTTTACCACGGGTCAGACTAGGTTTTAGAACAGGGGTCACCAACCTTTTTTAGGGTGAGGGCTACTTTTAAAATATAAAACAAGTCGGGGGCTACTTTTACTCCTCTTTTTTTTTTTTTTTGCAGTGTATATATTTAGCACATTTTAACATTATGATATGCTGACCTTTAACCTTTGTTTGCTGTTTGGGTCTGTGGGACCCGTTTTCAGTGTTTACTAAAAGAACATGTATGCAATCTAATTATTTTAACCTGCTTTATTTGGGGGTGGACGGGCCTCACCTCCTCCAGGGGGGTCCTCACCTCCTCTAGGGGGGGCATGCTCCCCCGGGAAGATTATTTTTAAATGTTGAAGTGAAATGCATCAATCTGGAGCACTTTGAGCACAACATGAATTGATGGAAACAGCTCTCAACACTCAGATGAAAGAGAGCTGTATACTTTTCAATAATCCAAACATCTTTAGAATATGATCACAACCAATAACAAATCATTTAAACTGGTTTATTCTTATCTTATGTTACCTAGTTAGCATTTTTTCTTTTTATGTATGCTTATTTTACTAATCACTCCCCTGTTTTTTGATTTTTTTTACTGTCCTATAGTACACATTGGAATGATTTCTTACTTTATCTATATTAAATAGATAAAGGTATGCTCTCCCTAGCTCTCTCTCTCTCCCTCCCTCCCCCCCAGCTCTCTCGCTCTCTCCCTCCCTCCCCCCCAGCTCTCTCACTCTCTCCCTCCCTCCCTCCCTAGCTCTCTCGCTCGCTCTCTCTCTGTCTCGCTCGCTCACAGAGGCTGTGAGCTCCTCCGTGGCGATCGACGGCTTGCGTTAAAAAATAATAATAAACATATTTTTAAAGTGGGGGGGCACAAACGGGATTTCGAAAAGAGCGGGGGACATTTCCCCCCTGTCCCAGGTGGAAATTACGCCATGCGTGTGTGCGTCAAGTGCAATAAATATATATGCAAGTTGCAACACACACACAGTAAAACTCTGCCCCTCATGTGCTGTATAGAGTGGCGAAGTCCCTCCCACTTACTTCCGGGGTATGGGACCTTATTCCGGAAAAGTTATGCATTGAAGTCAATGGGGAGAGAAAACTTATCTTTCGATCCCGTTTGAATTGTGCCATGAATTACACATATGATGTTTGTCAATCTTAAAAAATCATTTCCATGTCAAAAAAGTCACAGTTTGTCGTAAAACTGTTGAAATATAAGACTATGAAAAATACGTAACTAGAAAGACTACAAATCCCAGAGTCGCGTAAGTGATGTCACAATTGTTTACCTCCACCATTCAGATACCTAAGATCAGCGCAATATAGATATAATCTATCTATATGGCGCTGGCTAAGATAAGATAACTTTAACAAGATGCCTGTGTGCTTAGTACCAGGTTGTTATTATACCAGCAATGGGTCTTGCTCGTTCTTTTGCTTCCCGTCTGATGAAACGACCAGGAGTGGCTTGATCAAGTTAGCTACCTAGCTAGTGGCTAGCACGTTAGTTAGCATTACAGCCTTGTCATTTTTATTAGCCTTAACATGAAGTAACATTAAGTAACCCAAAATGTTAAACAGTAAGAGTAGTAGTCATATTTCGTGAACCCTTTGAATAGTACTGTCACCGGTGTGATCATTCTATAATACACCATTTAATTCCGGGGGAGAAATGCTAACGCTAACGTTAGCATCGGCGATCTTTTCTACTTCATGCTATCTGCACAAATGGTTGACATTAAACATTAAAACGACCAGGCAGTTCAGAGAGAATCAAAGGAAGGCAGGCTTTGCATGACATTCTTCAGGACGTGTTTCATTGTGGTGATAGTGAGGATAGTCAATCGTTTGTTGACAAGACAGTAGTGACGGCCATCTTGGTGACGTGTGTGGTTGACCAGAGATGTAGTTCATTGAGCCTTTCACACAAACAAATGTGTTACTTCACAGTTTTACGACACATTTTAATTTTTTTGACTTGCAAAATTATCTTTTAAATTGACAAACATCATATGTGTAATTCGTGGCACAATTCAAACGGGATCGAAAGATAATCTTTCTCTCTCCATTGACTTCAATGCATAACTTTTCCGAAATAAGGTCCCATGGGGCTCAACCGGAAGGGGAGGGACTTCGCCACTCTATAGGCTGGCATGATAGGCTGTTCAATGGGGCTGATGTGTTGTGTAGATTCTGCCAGAAGGAAAATCAGCGGGGAGGTGCCACATTGCTTTTCTTCCAGACTGCAACGCTGGTCCCGCAAATCAAGCAAGAACGTGATTGGTTGATATTCATTGTGGGGGTGGGGGGGAGGAGGGGTGTTAGATAGATATAGAGTTGTAGTAAGTAGATAGAGTTCGCTATGATTTAGGTTTCGTTTATGCATAGGGTAGATTCTTTTAATTACATTTCCTTTTTTGTTTTGTGTATTTTATACATTTTGGGTTTGCTTGGCGAGCTATTTTTAGAACATGCCCCGCGGGCGACTCACGTTGCCTCTGCGGGCGACCAAGTGCCCGCGGGCACCGTGTTGGCTACCCCTGTTTTAGAATGAATCAGGGCCGAATTCACCATATACATTGGGGGGGACACATCCCCCCCAATATTCAGATACACTCAAAATGTCCCCCCCCAATAACAAAAATAACAAAAACTTTTTTTTTTTTTTTTATTAAAATAAGATTGCTATTCTATGACTGGCTATTTGTATACTTGAACATCTTTATTTTCTGTTATTGTGAACTTCACCAAAATGATATATTCTTTTCATATGTAAATGGGGTCCGCCTTGTTTGTTTATGCATACCTTTATTTTGTACCCGGGGGTGTATTTCGCTGTCGCACATCTGAGTCCAGCTTCAGTTAGCTTGATGCTCCAAGCAGGGGGGTATACTACGAATCTAGTTCAACATATCCTGGATATGTTTTGAGTTATCCGGTTGACTAAATCCAAAAAAAAAACACTCTCACTAAACGGTCCTACGACGCTGGCTATCAACTCGATCGCTCAAGCCAGCCGTGTCCTATCTAGTTAGGTGCGCGTTCACATAAAAGGGGTGGTATTTGGAGTGTTCGACCAATCACAAACATGGACAAGCCGTGTACTGACAGCGCAGCGCGTCATATATTTCCTGAATGAAAAGTCAACTAATATTAGACAAATATGAAGACGTTAAACTTTAAACATCCATGACTTAAACACTTAGGATAAAAGCCACATAGTTGCAGCTGCAAGGTGAATACTGCTGGTAAAAGAAAAAGCATTTGAATACGTTCATTAACAGTTTTATGATATCACTGCTGCCCCGTCTCGAGTGTTTCGTCAACTTAATGTGTTGCTTAAAATAATACTTCTGCATACAGTATGTGACACTGTGAGTGTTGCACGGCCAGATACGGCTCAAGAAGCTGACTCAGATAAGGAAATATATGACATAGGGCTGTGCAATTAATCGTATTTTAATCGCAATTACGATTTTGGCCTGCCACAATTACGAAAACAACATAATCGGAAAAAACGATTATTTTGCTTTGCTAGGTTGTGACCGTGCACTGCAACATATTTGATCTAATTTATTTTAGTCTAATTTATTTGTATTTATCATATTTACATATGTTTAGTAGCTTGTTGAAGTGCGCTCCAAAATATTTGTTGATCTTGTTTATTGGTATTTATTATTTTTGTATTGGTTTTTCAGTTGAATTATACGTTCAGGGTAATCAACAGTTAAAAAGATACTGTTCAAATTATTATTTGTATTTGTTTTAAAGTTCAATAAATGGATGTTTTCAAAGCCAATGAATAATCGTATTTAATAATCGTGATATCAATTATTGACCAAAATAATCGTGATTATGATTTTTGCCATAATCGCACAGCCCTAATATGACACATTATGATGTGATATCATGTGATATGAATGATAATGGGACACATCGACGTCTGCACTCACAGTGCCGCGGACTGTACGTAATGTTACTTTGATCCGGTTACTTATGTTGTGGCAGATATTTAAGTAAGCTTTCTTAAACGCTAATGTTATAATAGTCAGATTGCTCTGAAGATGGGAGGTGATATTCTATTAATTTTCACGTTCACACAGTCGGTGATTTTGGCCGGCCGTCTTCCCTGCAAAGGCAGTTTAAACTGTATTTCCTTTCTCCTCCTGTCATATGAATTGATCGCTTTAAACTCCGCACACTGAGCTCTGATTGGTCAGCAGGCAGTGCTTTTATCCTGGAACCTATCCTGCTCCGGAGGCTAGCCGTTCAGAATAAGTTATCTAGCCCGCTAAGAAGTGAACCAGCTTCGTAGGACCGGAAATCCAGGAAGTTAGCTTGCTAAACGAAAATCTTGCTTCGTAGTATAGGCCCCAGGTCAGTCATGTTTTAATTTGCCCTCCATCAGTTCTGGTATCTTTTCTAGTTAGCCCTAAAGTAATCTATATTATTTTATTTCGTAATGGTAATGTTAATAAACCCTCCGGTTTAGCTTCTTTGTGTAAGTAACTTGTAGTTCTGATGTTAAAACCGAACTTTTCAGGAATAGTAGCTAACTAGCTGTGGGCTAGCTGGTTTCAGTTGCTAGCCAGGGTTTGGCGGGCTAGTGTCAGCTATGTGGAAATGACGGTGTCGTTTTGGATGTAATCCAATACATATTTATTCATGTAGATTATTTCGATTTTATTTTGTCATTTGTAGAGTGTGGAAAGATTTAAACCTGTGATGTGTGACATCTATGGAATACCAAAGGTGCCAGAATTATTTAAATAAATACTCTACAATTATTATGAAATAGTATTTCAACAAAACAAAAGGGCAATAAAGTGTTCCTGTTTCTA